TTCACTAACCAGGATAATTGTGTGCAGTTGTTTTTTTCTTTTTAATTTTAGATGTATTTTAGTTAGACCAGTACAATATTTTTGTTGTTTACCTCCTGCAAACCCACAGAGCACTTCCAGAAATTTAGTGCATGGTTTCTCATTTTTAATAATAATCCACGACTTGAAAAGTATACAATGATCTTGCTGTTGCTCCCATTCTTAACTCCTTGCATGAAAATAGGAAAGTGTACCTGTTCATAATGGAAGGAAATATGAAAATATTTGTTGGTACCATTTTACATAAATGTTAAACTGTGATGGAAAGTATAGTGCTTAGAATGGCTATTGAAAAGAATTTCATTTATAAAGGTAAATAGATCAAAATAGGTTTAGTTGAATTGGCGTCAACAGCTAGGTATCATTTATTCAGGAATTTAGAATTGTATTTAATTGGATTTAAATATAGCAATGTATTTTTTACTTTTACAAGCATGACTTAAAGGTGACTTTAGAACAGCTTGCTGATAAAAGAATTGTGTCCAATTTTAAGGAGTTCAGTTCCTTTTTAAACCAATGTTTTAACATTTGTGGGAAATAATGGTAGAATTTTTTTATTCACTAAAATGGGTATTTGATAGAAATGCCACCCATATTGTGCATCTTATAAGGGGAAATGCAATTGCATTTGTCATAGCATGCTAGCCATCTTAAATTAGATTTTCAGCTGTGGATTTAGGAAACTTTATGGTTCTCTGTTCAACATTCATAGTGTTAGCTATATCTTAAATTTCAGACAGAAGACAGATTTCAAAGAAGACAGAATCACAGTAAATTAAAAATATTTTTCAATCTATATGCAGTAACCTAGAATAAACACTATTTTTATTTTGGTAGAGATTTTCTAAAAGAATTACTTGTTAAAAGAAAACTTTTTAGAATTGCTGACTTGTTAATAAATCAATTTGATTTGGTATAATTTAGACCAGGGGTAGTCAACCTTGGCTCTTTTATGACTCGTGGACTTCAACTCCCAGAATTCCTGAGCCAGCACAGCTGGCTCAGGAATTCTGGGAGTTGAAGTCCACGAGTCATAAAAGAGCCAAGGTTGACTACCCCTGATTTAGACCATACCTAGTAAGCTAGGTATTTTCTTCTTTCTGTTTTATGGCAGTTATGTTGGAGGTTTGGGGTATTAAATATCATATAAAAGTCTAAGAACTCAGTTTGTCTTAATCCATTAATTGAAGTGTCTTCAATTAATGCATGATGCAAATGGCAAACCTGCAGGAAACGTATGTCTTTGTATTTTAAATACTTACACTGGAGAGAACTGAAGAGACCAAGGCGGTGTCAAACTGGTGGCCCACGAGCAGGATGCGTCCTGCACAGGCCACATCCACCCTGGCTCCGCAAAGGCAAAAAAATCACGATATGTCACGATATGTCGCGTGATGCGATCGAGTTTGACACGAATAGGTCTGTCTATTGTATTTTAATGCTGAAGTGGCACCACTCGCAATGCATTCCTTAGCATTTGATCTATGTTCACACATGGGAGGAAAAATGGGATTTGGGAGCTGAATATGAAACAGTGGCAGAATAATTATTATAAGATCTACCATTGTTAGAGCAGTGCAGTGATCTGGATTGAAAAGGGAAAAGGTGATTTGGAGTGTGTACAGGTACTCACACCTGTTGCAACCCCTTAAAGAAGCAGTATTTTTTTCTGAGCTTACATGTGCAAAGACATTTATCTCTGTGATTTCTACATTGCTTTAGTCCAGGGGTAGGCAATCTTGGCTCTTTTATGACTCGTGGACTTCAACTCCCAGAATTCCTGAGCCAGCTGGCTCAGGAATTCTGGGAGTTGAAGTCCACGAGTCATAAAAGAGCCAAGGTTGGCTACCCCTGCTTTAGTCTAACTGGCCCTAATTAACTTACAAAGAAAACAAAATAAATTGTGTCACTATTTACAATATATTCCTATGGCACCTTCTTGTTCTCTGGGGAGAAATTTCATTTCTTCTGAAATCTTCTTTTAAAAAAGCAAGCTTCAAAAATACAAGAAAAGTGACAATCTCACCACCAGGGGCGAGCTGTTTTGCAGATTTTCAGCTGTGGAATTAGGAAGTTATGTAGTTATAAGCTCAACATGCATAGTGTTAGAGCTACATTAAATTTCAAGCAGAAGACATTGATTTATCACAGTAAATTAAAAATATTTTTCAATCTATATATAGTTTGCATGCCCCATAAGAATAAACCGAGGATGACTGTTGGAAGGCTCTGTCTATCTTGAAATTGATATATATATCTATATAAATAAAAATGTAAATGTTCGTTTGTTCAAAATCTTAAATCTCCGAAAGTTCTTCACCGATTGCTTTGAAATTTTGACACAACGTTGCATTCGAATACGCGCGTGTTTTTATATACCTACATTATATAGATGTCACACTTGTGACAGGTAAAAACATGCTTTTTTTGAAAAACAGCGCCATCTGTTGGAACTAAAAGCAACACACGCTACGATTTTATGATTCCATTTCAATGATTCCGATTTACAATCCATTTACGATTTCCAAATTTCCAATTTTACGATTCCATTTCAATGTTTCCAATTGCAAAAATATTGTATACCCACAAGCATTGTGAAATTAAACATATTACGAACGTGTGCTTTCTCTTTTCTTTCTTTTCCATTTAACCAGACTGAGCCACAGCAACGCGTGGCCGGGTACAGCTAGTATAGATATATAGTTCAAGACACCTCTCTCAAATTTCAAGATAGGCAGAGGCTTCCATCAGTCACCCTCGGTTTATTCTTATGGAGCAAGCAGAGTTTACCCATAATAAGTGGTCTTGAAGATAACTAGGTCTAAAGCCATAAAGCATTTTATAAATAATAATTAGCACCTTGAATTGTATATGGAAACAGACCAGTAACAGGTGCAACCACCAACAAAAGTATATTAGGAAAATCATGGGTCTGACCTGTTATCAAATAGGCAGCTTCATCTATAGTGAATTATAGTACTCTGGCTAAGAGAAAACAGTGACAGAAGTAATACCTCATGTTTTAGAGAAGATCACACCTGGTGCACCAATTATAATAAATAGGTGAAAGCTTATCTGGCAACAGCTCCCACCTGTTCTTTAGGTGTGAGTCTAGGGACATGACTAGACTGTAGGGCTGCTCTCTCGGTGGGAGCACACCCCATCCAAACGCAAGTTTGTTATCATCTTGGAATGAGCTCATTTCTCAGTTAACAGGCAGTCCACCTTGCTTGCATTCAATTTAAGCCTGTTTTTTTTCCACCTGAACGCTACAACCTCCAAGCACTGGTCAGGTCTGCTACTGCAACTCCAGTTCAGCTTCAAGTGGAAATATTCAACTAGGTATTACCCACACACTAATGATACTTTATACTCTGCTAGTAGATGACCTCTCCTAGTGGCTTCATACATATTAAACTAAATAGGGAGGAATGCTGAGTTCTGGAGCACCTCATGTCAGACCACCCTCCTTGTAATTTAGGCCAGTGTTTCTCAACCTTGGAAATTTTAAGATGTGTGGACTTCGATTCCCAGAATTCCCCACCCCAGAATATAGTTAGAAGGAAAGATTACCAAGCAAGAATCCTGGTGAGCACTTTTGAAATGAAAATCCTATATCAGTGGTGGCGAACCTATGGCACGGGTGCCAGAGGTGGCACTCGGAGCCCACTCTGTGGGCACACGTGCCGTTGCCTCAGCCTTGCCTCCCCCCGCAGCCCCCTCCTCACCGGCAGCTCCCCTGGAGGAGAGTCGCCCCTGAACATGGCCCACGCGGAGCAGCACAGCCAAGGACATGGTAGCCAGGCAGCATAGACAAGACTCTGCCCTCATGCCCCATCACGCACAGTTGATGCTGCGGGGCGCAGGCAGAGGGCATGGCTGCCATGGGCTGCTGGGCTGCCTGGGTGATCTGCGCGGGCCCTGGAGGCTGTGAGTGGCCCTATGGGCAGGCGGGGTGGGGGCGGGGCAGGGGGTAGAGTGGGGGCAGGGCCAGTTTTTGGGCACTCGGTCGCTAAAAGGTTCGCCATCACTGTCCTATATAGATGTAATTTAGGGCTATAAAATTGTCTGTTCCTTCAACTTTTTCAGTATAGGTGGCTAGAAGCTTGATTCCTTTGTGAAGGTGGGACTGTCTGCATCTCTATTTTAATAACTTTCAGCCCTTTTGCCAACTTGAGAAGCAAAATTCACATATCCCCCCCCTCATAATAACTAATTGGAATTGCCCAGTTAGGAAATAGTGGAATTGTCACAACATGGTTTCCCCTAATCTCAGCCCTCAAAGGCAAATCAGAAAGTGTAATAGTAACCCTGAAGACCACTGAGAGGGGAACACCATTTAAGTGCCATCATAGTTTTTCCACAAGAATAAGCAGGGGTTTTTTTGAATTTCTAACTGGTATATGCTCCCCCATCCCCTAAATCATTTTCCCCATTTAAGTCCAGATTGCCTCATAGCTCTAATATTACATTTAGAGTACAATCTTATGTGCAGTATGTTAGAAATATATTGAGTTCAATAGCTTTTTCCTTACTAATTGTGTAGGGTTAATGCCTCATTGTAATTATTTTAATATCAGACCAAACTTAGTTGAAACATCCTATTAAATGGTTATTCAAGAACTAAATTATACATTGATGCTAATGCATAGCATTTTTTCTTACTTGAATGTAAGGAGTGGAACCATAATATGTATTTATTTATTTGCTAGATTTATATCCTGCTTTTCCTTGAGGTCAGATCAGTGTACAAAAGGATCTCCCTTCATTTTATCCTTATAACAACAATTTCTATTTAATAAGCTGGGCTGAGAGATGATGATTAGCCCAGTTTCCCCTTATCCTGACTAAGAATCTTTCCAATCCTAGTGTAGCCCCTTTAATTGCTATATTACACTGCCTACCACACTGCCTAATTCGTGTTTTTAAACCCTTTTGTTACTTATTATTATGTGGTCCATTCTTCTCCATATCTGCAATTTGATCTTGGGATTCTGTTTTAAGATCTCCTAAGATTGCTGTTTCAGTGAAATGTTGCACAAACATTATCCTAGTTACCAAGTATCACCTTCACTTGTAGTAATTTGCTACAGTATGTAGCGAGTTTACATGATTTGCCTAATATGTCACACTGCAGCAGTAATTCACTCTCCTTTTCTTTCTGTAAAACAGATTGGTGGGTGTTGCAGCTTAAATGTATTTTCAGTACGGGACAATCAGTTATCTAGGATTCCACCGGAGATATCGCAGGCCACAGAGCTCCATGTTCTTGATGTAGCTGGAAACAGGCAAGTGTGTTCATATTTGCTCTAAATTCATTTTGTAGTGGATTTGAACTGACAGATTTCTTAATATTCTTCCTGTGGGAAATGGTGGACTGGGGGACAAATACTTCGTAATCTGGTGTCAAAGGATGGCCCCAGTTAAGTTAAAGCAATGTTGACTGGTGAATCAAGTTCACTGGATTATTGATAGCCACACAGAATGGTAATAAAAATTGTATTCTCAAAAAAACAGAGGTGTTATGCTCTTGTCTCTGGGAGAATGTTTTAGACTAGGGATGTAGTGGGTCTCTCTCTTGTTCACTTAGCGGTTCAGTTCATCACCTTTCCTGTTCAGATAAATTCCCTCTGAGGCTCCCTTTATGAACCTTCCAAGGGTTCTGTTCTAATTAGATTTTTAAAAACAGACACACATTTTCCTTTGGAGAAGAAAAATAAGTACTCCAAGTTTTACCATAACTATTTCAGTAATATCAGGAACCTCATGTGACCAAATGTCTTCAATTAAAAAAAAACTCCTTCTAAGTCTAGTCCAGTGGTGGTGAACCTATGGCACGCGTGCCAGAGGTGGCACGTGGAGTCCTCTCTGTGGGCACGCGCCATCGCCCCAGCACACGTGGTCTCTAAAAGTTTGCCATCACTGGCCTAAGGCCAGCTAGCCTGGAGCCGCCATTGGGGAGCCCACCATCCCACCCGCCAGAGACCCCCTGGATCTCCCCCAACCCTGCCCGGCTCCCACGGATGTCCCTCCCCATAAGCAACATCAAGGTGGCCATGCCCACCCCAGCCATGCCTACCCAATCTGCCATGACTACTGCAGCCACACCCATCCAGTGGCCACGCCCACCCAGTCTGCCAAGCCCACTGTAGCTGCACCTGCCGAGTGGGCCACACCCACCCGGCACCCGGCGATACATAAGTGGGTTTTGGGTTGCAGTTTGGGCACTCGGTCTCTAAAAGGTTTGCCATCAATGCTCTAGCATTCTGTGGTATTCTCTCCTCCAAGTACTAACCAATTTAGCATTAGCAATAGCATTTAGACTTATATACCACGCCATAATACTTTATAACACTCACTGGGTGATTTACAATGAATATTGCCCCCAACAAACTGGGTCCTCATTTTACCAACCTCAAAATGATGGAAGGCAGAGTCAACCTTGAGTCCCATCAGGATCAAACTCCAGGCTGTGGGGAGAGTTTGCTTGCTATACTGTACTTTAATCACTGCACTACCAGAGTTTAGTTTTTGACATCAGCTAAATGGGTCTAGGTCAGGGGTAGGCAACCTTGGCTCTTTTATGACTCGTGGACTTCAGCTCCCAGAATTCCTGAGCCAGCATGGCTGGCTCAGGAATTCTGGGAGCTGACGTCCACGAGTCATAAAAGAGCCAAGGTTGCCTACCCCTGGTCTAGGTGTTGTCACAACAATTATTTGGAGGTCTGTATATTGAAACAGATAAAATACAGCTGATGATCTGGATGGAGTTTGGAAAACCTAAGAATGGCTGAGTTTGCTTGGTACTTGGAGGGACATTCCTAGGAATGCCAAGGCCCTAGATGAGATTTGAAAGTTGTGGAGGAAGACATCCCAGAAGACACTGGCAAAGCTCTTCTTTTCTGCCAAGAGAACTTCATTGACATGATCATATAGTTGCCAGGAGCTTGACTTGAGGGAATCTTTGCCTTTTGATTGTGATAGATTGTGGGATTCTGTGCTGTTATAAGAATAGGATAAGCTTTAGTCATTTGGCCTGAAGCAGTTCAGTTTTTTGCATCTGCATTGTTCGGGTCTAATAAAACAGCACTTAATACAGAATGTACTTCTTTTTATCCTCCACTAATTCAAATTCTCAGAACGACAATGTACAAAATGCATGAAATATGAATTGGGGGGCGATTAAGGGGTAGAAAAACAATCCTGCACCCAAAGAAATACAATGTTTGGTGCTAAACAATGTGATATGTAAATGCCAAGTTCTTTCCTGGGCACACAGTATGTTTCTTATTTATTCTGAACAATGCAGTAAATCTGTATTTAACTTGGAACACCTGATATCTTCCAAACTTTAGCATCACTATGTAGCTAAATTTCTATGGCACTGCAAGGGGTATATTTGCCAGGGGACTCTATTGTGTATATTATAACCTGGACCTTGAAATATGTTCTCTTTTCTTTCCAAAAGGGGACAGTGGGTTATTTTCTTTATAGCACAAACAACAAATATGCTGCAAACTTCTTTAATGCTTTGCTTTGTTCTGCATAGTTGGATAAGAAATCTTAAAGCAATTCCTTGTTTTCTCCATTAGGTTGATACATCTTCCCATGTCGCTGACTAGCTTGAAGCTGAAAGCTTTGTGGTTGTCTGATAACCAGTCTCAGCCTTTGCTTACCTTCCAGACAGACACAGACCCTGAAATGGGAGAAAAAATTTTAACATGTGTTTTACTTCCTCAATTGCCTTCTGAGCCTAGTTGCCAAGGTAAACATTTTTTGAGATCATCTTCATGGGAAGCAAAGATGGCTTTTGTCTGCATAAGGAGAAAAAAAAAGTCAGTTCCCTTTTGTAACAAGCAGCGTGGACATATATAAAATATTTTAAATGTACAAATTATGAAAGATGCTAATGATGTGGAAACCGTTAGTTATAATTACATAATACTGAAGACACCAACAAGTAAGGAGGAGGTTCTTTTATTATAGAAACAAGGGCCTCAGATCTCTCCGACTTCCCTTAAGCAAGAATAGGAATATATTTTCTTCATTATATTCTTGTTTGTTACATCAAACTGATAAATCACTTGGTTTTGAAGAAATGACATGTATACCTATCAAACACCCCTAAACCCCTTTCCATTGACCTACATTCCACATACAGGTGCCATTTTAATAATAATAATAGAATAATATTATGGAATAACAGAGTTGTAAGGGACCTTGCAGGGCTTCTAGTCTCTGCTCAAGTAGGAGACCCTATACCATTCTGGACAAATGGCTGTCCAGTCATTCCACTGATTAATTGTTCTCAGTGTCAGGAAATTTCTCCTTAGTTTTAGCTGGGATTTCTCTTTAATGAGCGTCCACCCTTTGCTTCTTGTCCTATCCGCAGGTGCTTTGGAGAATAAGTTGACTCCCTCTTCTCTGTGACTGTCCCTTAAGTACTGGTACAGCTATCATGTCACCCCTAGTCCTTTTTGTTGTTAGACTAGGCATACCTAATTCCCTCAATTGTTCATCATATGGTTTAGCCGCCATCTTTCAATGTTTGAATGTTTGAAATGTACAGGTATCTGCCAATGAACTCACTATGAATCTGGATGGTTAATCAATTTTAATCATTTCTTACACTGAAAATCTGCATCATTTAAACAAAAGAAAATGGAGCTTATTGACATGCAAATATATGCTTTTTATTTCGCTAAAAAAAAGTTTCACGAAATGAAAGGTTACTAAACACGGAGAGTTTAGCCAATGAAAAATAATCTAATAGACTTGGCATCTCAAGTGAATGTTGAATGTTATTTTCAAATAGTTTTCAATAAAAACTTGGCATCCAAGCTTCAATACACAGTAACATTAACCTGTGACATACACATCTGCTGTCTCTACTTGTCTGCTGTCATAATAGATAACCTTCCCCGGTGTGGTGCATTGGAGAACTTGGTAAATGAAATGTCAGATGAAACGTGGAATGAACGGGCAGTAAACAGAGTCAGTGCAATTCGCTTCTTAGATGATGAAAAAGATGAAGAAGACAATGAAATGGTGAGTTTTCTCAGGAAGCAAATGCAAAATGATGGGTGCTGGAATAGTTGGGTGCTGATAGTCTTGGAATAACGTTCACAACAGCAGTAGACTGTATTACATACAATTTGTAGTCCCAATCTGTTGTTGTTTTTTCAAATCAAAGCTATTTTGTTTGAATAACATGACTGTGTGCTAGTTTTCTCTTCTTTTTGCTTCTTTGATGAGGAGGAGATTTGATTTTTTTCCCCCTAAAGCCAAAAGAGAGGTGTGAATTCTTATGAGAGGTGCGAAGTTTTGTGTTTTAGGCAATGACTTCTGGGAGATTTCCACTGGTCTTTTGGCTACATCCACCTCCACCACCACCACCACCATCACCATTACATCCATCTCTCTGCTGTCCCTTCCATTGTCCCTCCTTCATTTCATAACCATTTGCACTGATGCCTGAAACCTTTGAGCCACCAGGAAGAGTTTGGTATCCTGTTCAAATGAAGGAGAGTCTGGTGGGAGCATCTGTCACTGTTCTTATGAGACCTCTGTTGAAACACACGCAGTGCACACTCACATTCAGTGAACTTCTGAAGGAAGTTCAAATGTCAAGCAGCAACCAATCATGTTTCCAAATTGTGACTGTGTGATAGAAGAGTTTGTGTGGCACACAGACGTAAGATATTCTTAGGTCTAAACTTAAGCCAATACTTTGGCTTAGTTTGTTGTGTAAACCAGGCTTTCAATTTATTAATAAATTGAAACATATGTAGCTCGGTCTTAGGAACCCAACCAATGGTTAAGAAAACAATTTAGCACATTGTATAAACCAAGCTAGCATCTGAAATGAAGTGTAGCATGAGACTAAAATAAATTTAAATATACATAGCAAAGGAATGTTCCTGTTTTGAAAATTCAACATATTTTCAGTTAAAGAGATTTTAGTTTTATAATTAATTAAAGAAGTCAAAAAATATTTTACACATTCTTACCTTAATTAATTTTTGAAAAAAAAATAAAATACAAAACAGAAAACTAAACAAAACAAAAACAACATTCAACCCTGAAACAACAAAAACGAAAACAATGTTTGTTTTTCTGTTTTGTATTTTACTTTTTATTATAAAATAATAATAATAATAATAATAATAATAATAATGGAAAATTAATTGTTTAAAACAATTTCTGCCTACTTCAGTTTTCATCCTCCCCTAATCAATAAGGCTGATTAAAATGTGCATTTTTATATAAACACTATCCTATTGTCAATCAGTGTTGCTAGGATTCATTCATTTAATTTCATTAAAACTTGTCAAATTTTAAGCACCATATAGATTAACACTATGTTTAGTATTTATAAAATATATTAGCAATATATTATTAAACTAAGCTTTTTAGACCTTATGTATATAGTAAAATACAACTTACAACAATCTTGGTTGGTTGTATAATTATAGCAAGTGGTTGTTGAAATCACATAATCATTTCAGAGCAAATTTAACTGGCATTATAAAAAGACTAATATTAATGGTATAATAGGGGCTCCACAATGGGTGATTTTCTTTTAAACATTGGTAAAAATACAATATTTCCTACCATATAATGTTGTGGGGCGCACTGAAAATTGTTTTGCATTCCAGAAGTCTCAGGGTTATTACAGTAATGTAAGGTTATTTTCTTATCTTTCAGTTACTTAATTACTGTGGCTTATGAGACAAGATATTACAGTATAATTCTTGTATGCTTGTTGATCTGGCTATTCACATATGAGAATTTGCAACTATGGGTACTGGCATTTCTGGTTTATTTCCCAGAATCCATGTTATAAAGTTCTGAAGAGCAGATGCATCTTGAAATACTGATATATAGCATCTTAAGCATATATCCACAACATTTAGATGCACATCTTTTCTTCAGCTATAAATATCATTGGCATAATTGGCAGGTTAAGCATGAATAGAGCTGAATAATCATCTATAATTTCTGGAGATAAATCAGACCGAGATCTCAAGTTATTGTTAAAAGAGCCCAAGTAAAATAATCAGAATATCCGATTGTGCTACTTTTTAATGACCAGTAATGCTTCACAATGGGACAGCATACTGTTGGGCAATGTAATTAAAAACCACAGTTTTCTTCTAGTCTTCATATATTTTCCTGAAGCATCAGATTCTCGAATTATGGCATAAATCTCTTTTTAAAACTTTTGTATTTCAAATCAATTTGCAATATTTTTCGTGGCAGAATCTGTTGCTCAAGAAAAGAAGTTTTCTATTCTTGGTGAGGTACGAATATTCTTTTGAAAGCAGTATAGGTAACTATATGAAATCCATATGCTAAAAAAAAGGTGTAGTACTGTCATTTTTATAAATACTTAAACTGGGAATGGTAAACTAAATGATAGCAACTAGTCAAGACATTTAATCTAAGAACAATTAAGTTAATATTAATCCTCATAACCAGTGCTGATAACAAGTTAGTTATGTGCATTTGTATGACAGGAAGTTCATGAACTTACTAGATAGGAAAGCAACACTTCAGCTTTTTGTATACTAGGTTTGTGCAGCCCATCAGCTTTAACATGGCAAAGGTCCCCTGAGCTTGCTTTGATATTCATGTTGAATCTGTAGGCAACTCCTTAAACACCACCTGTCCTTTCCAGCTGCTTGAAGGATTTGCAGACAGGTGCTTCACGAATCGCTTTGCAGACTCCAAGGCACCTTTGCTATATGTTTTCTCTGTAACACATTTCTTCTGATTTCTTGCCCCGGCTATTACAGCATGAAAATGGTGATTGCCTATGTTTCTATTTCACAATACACCTAACTTTTAATATTGTAGTTCTGGGGATTAGTGTTTTATCTGGTTGTTAGCCGCCCTGAGTCCGCAAGGAGAAGGGCGGGATATAAATTAAATTAATAATAATAATAACTGATAGCTGTTAAAACTTGAAAAGCCATTTTAATGAATAGAGAAATACAGTTTTAAGAAGGCAGACACAAGGAATCATTTACTCCACTGTTTGTTTTTAGCGGACACTCCTAAGGCGAGCCACTCCACACCCTGGGGAATTAAAGAACATGAAAAAGACAGTGGAGAATTTACGGAATGATCTGAATGCTGCTAAAGGACTGGATTCAAACAAAAATGAGGTCAATAATGCCAATGACAGAGTGACCACTTCTGTGTAGAGCCTCACATCCTCCAGGTTGTTGCTCCTGTGTCTTCCCTCCGCTGTCAAAATATTACCGTTGCATCCTGGAAATGCCATCTATTCAACCCTCATATGTCTTTGATCGGCGATCCAACTCATCTTGTCCTTGTGTCATTTCTTGGGAAGGTGCTTCTCAGCGGAAGAAAAGTGCCTGACTTCATTCCAAGCATTTGAACACAGCGCAAGTGCACTGAGCAAAGTTCTTTGCTGTCATGTCTCCCATTTGTCTGTCAGTGATTTTCCATTGTTGTCATTTCCATAAATGTTAAGCTGTTGGTTTCTGGGTTTTTGGATAAGGGAAATACACTATTACAGAACCTCGGTCGGTTTTCTACTAAGATATTCTCCTCAAATCCCTTCATGGCTGAACTATTTATATGGCTGCTTGACTTATCATGAAAAGAACTAGTTATATGGAGAAGTTATACTTTTACTTCCTGGGCAGCTCAGATGATGTAAATTTTATAATTTTGTATAGGAGTTTCATAACAAAAACAAAAATGTTTTTAAAAGAAAAAATTTTAAAAAGTAGATTTTGTTATTCCTATTGGATTAATTCCAAAGATGTACATGATTGTCCTATTGCATGTGCCTTAATTGCAGCCTAAATCAAGCTAAACAGAAAATGTAGTGAGATTAGTTAAAACCAGGGTGCCTCTTTCAATGTGTTATCTTGCAAATAATTAACTTTTACTCTCCTTTACAAAAGTTGTTAAAGGCATCTTTTTTTCTACTATTGTGATGACACGAGATCCTCAAACTCTGCCTTCCTTATGATATGATTCATTGACAATTGTAAAAAAAATATAAGTTTGGCTGCCAATGCATTGCAGTCACTAGAATTTCAGTGCCCATCTTTAACTATACCATCTGTAAACAAGTTTAAAAAAGTGAACAAAATACACAGCAACTAGTGCCTATGTTGTGGAAACAAATGTTATCTGCTATACAGACATGATATTCTCATACGTTTAAAGGTTTTATAGATACATAAGACCTAATAAATACCTTAAGAAACATAATGGCTCAATAACTCTCATTTTACTAGGAAAAAAATCTATTACATTGGATGTTGATTCATTTGAGTTTCACGTAAACCAAAGCTCTTGGCTAACTCCTATGTTATAAAGTTTATAATCATGGCTCAAATTTGTTTTGAAATGTAAGCAACAAAGTCCTAGGGAAGCTAGGAATTTGTTGCTTACATTTAATTTGCTAGATGCTAACGTTTTCAGGCTTAAATAGAATACATGTTCTCTATAAAGTTGTTTTTCATTTTCCAATAACTTAGAAAAAAAATAAGATGACAATTCAGCTTGTGACTGTATTTTGCTTCCTATTTTGGTTGTGACATGTGAAAACTGGCTTACTATTGAATTACTAAATTGGGGGGGAGGGGAAATGGAAAAACCCACAAGCTACCAAATGGCTTTTGTAAACCTTCTATGCAGTTCTCAACACACTAAAACTCTAGATAGTATACTTTACAAAAGATTATAAAATATGATCTAAGTTTTCAAACTCCTATTTAATATGTGAATGTTCAATATATGAAGTGTATCTGGAAAGTGTGTGTGTGTGTTTGTGTGTATGTATGTGAATGTAGTACTTGAGTGTAATTTTAATTTAGGGAAAATACACAAAAAAATCCCAATAACTGAACATGGCTTCAGGTTCTTTGCTTTCTTTCCTCTTTAATTTCCTCTCTGTAAAAGAAATTCCATCAAATTGCCTAAGGGAAACCAAAGTGCATTTTTTTTCTGTAGAGGTTTCTTTTTATAAAACATTGTGAGACCAATAGAGATGAATTTAAAATATTTAGATGAATTAAAAATATACTTACAAAGAAAGCTATAAACAGGTCTGCATATGGTTAGTGCTCCATATGTTCTTTTGATGTTTTAAGAGCTTGCTGCAAATACTTGCAACTTCTCTGCTAATAAATATGAATCATATATAGCAGTTTTTTCTTCATATTTTGCTGATTTTAATGAAACTAAAACCCGTGAATGCCCAACTTTGAGCTGCGTGATCAGTTTCTTCATTTGAATGGACTCCTACGAGGTCATCCTCAAAAGCACAAATTTAAATAAATGGTCAAGTCAGGTAAAAGTAAATTGGGGCATCGTTTAAAAGATTCAGAAAAGGACATTCAACCATAACTGGGCTAGAATCAAGTGGTCAGGAGAACCTCACTATAAACATATATATATATATATACACAATTATATATATACAATTGTCTTATCTTACAATTCCATAGCAAGTTTTTCCCCATTGTCTGCCTCCTCACTAATGGCTGAATTATGGCTAAATGTATATGGAAAATGCTCAGTCATCCAGGTCATGGTTGTCCTAAAGGAGCACCTTTGGGACATCATTATGGCTATTCTTCATTGTTCAGGAAAGGCACTTTGGGAATTACAAGAAGGACAATGAGATTAAAAAAAACTTGCCTTCTGGGAACTTGCACATGAAGTATAAATCGTGTTCATTAGGTTTGAAACATGTGAATTGTATCCCTGAAGATTCAGTAACGTAGTTTGCTATTTGATTCAACAAAAGATTAGTTAGTGTTCTATATGAACTTTTCTTTCTTGAGATGGATATATAGGTAGTCCTCAATTTATGACCGTAATTGAGAATGAAACTTCCATAGTGAATCACAAATAGTCATTTTTTGCACTGATTTTGCTTGTTGGAAGCCCTCCCGGGAAGGTCATTAATGGAGATTATGTGACTCTGGGATGCTGCAACTATAATGGATATAGGTATTCTTCAACTTAATGGCCACAACTGAGCCCCCAATTTTTTTTGCTAAGCAAGACAATTGTTAAGTGATTTCTCTCCCCCCATTTTATGACCCTTGTCACAGTTGTTAAGTGAATCACTGCAGTTGTTAATAGCATGTTTGTTAAGTGATCATCTTTTGCAGTGGTGAGATTCAAATATGTGAACAATCGGTTCTCTGTGTGGATGCCGCTTCCGGAAGTCCATTCTGGGCCTGGGCAACAAAAAATTAGCTACCGGTTCTGCCAAAGTGGTGCGAACCGGCTGAATCCTACCACTGATCTTTTGTGACTTTTTGACAAACTTTGCTTGTCAGAAGGTTGCAAAAGGTGCTCACTTGGAACACTGCAACCATCATAAATAGGAACCAGTTGCCAAGCATCTGAATTTTGATCCCGTGGCCACGGGGGTTGCTACAATGGTTTTAACTCTGTAAAATGGTCATAAGTCACTTTTTTCAGAGCTGTTGTAACTTCGAACAGTCACTAAATGAACTGTTGTAAGCCAAGGACTGCCTGTACATGCCAGTTGACAAATGCCCAAATTTTGATCACATGACAGTGAGGATGCTGCAATGATCGTGTGGGTTGCAAGTCTTTTTTTTCAGCCTCATCGTAACTTCAAGCAGCTGTTAAATTAATGGTTGTAAATCAAGGACTACTGGTAATCCTATAATTAAGCCTACAAACTACAAGATAGTATGAAGTAATATGATTGTGAATAATAATTAAATTTTGCAGTTTGTTACATAAACATTTTACGGGTGGCTGTCATTAGCAACTGTCCCTTTTAGTGACCCTTTGCAGTTATGAGAGTGATGAAAAATAACTGTACAACAATCCTTGCATATACAACCTTTACAGCCCTATAAAGCAAAGGAAAGCTGAAGTAAGATCAGAAGCACAGTTGCAATTTCACTTGCTGACTGCTTTTTTTAACAACTGAGTAGCCAGTTGCAACTGTGGTCACTGAACCTGTATATTAAGACGTCTGCCACTTCAGGTGTTGCTCAAATATCCACTGCTTCTGTTCAACAGGCTCATTACAGGAGCTGATGTTTCTTTCTATAAAAGAAATACTTGATTCGTACTACTTAATGCCAGTACTCCCGAATACAGCTCGATGGGGTTTATTTCCTAATTTGGGGTTTTATTTATTTATTTACTCCAGAAGATTATGAACTGAGCTTAATTCTCAAATGTCAGAATTTTCATATGCAGCTCCTGTGCTAGCTAGAGTCTGGTTCCATATTCAACCACATATCTAGGATTATGTGCTGTATATCTTTAAATTCTTGTGTATCAGTCAAGTTAACAAAGATTAAATTGGAAATTTAGGGTCAAACAAAGTCGTCCAAGTGGTTAAAAAGCATTTTTTTTAGAATTCAACATTGTATATTCTCTGTTTCCTTAAAAATAGGCCTGGGTTGGAGCAAGTATTTGGTCAATGGAGCATTGCTCTGAGAACATATGGTCCTAATTTCATGCTGCACTCTCAGGCCATCAGTACCTTTTTCCAAGCAATTTTTGCAAGGCCTTGTATGAACAAGCCATGTCTGTGTCCTTGGCCCCCACATGCACACACAAATGAATTTATTTTTGTGGTTTAGGAGGTAAACGTGCTAAAATCTGAATTTGCAGAGTTGATTATCTGTGAAACCTGAAGAGAGGAACATAAGAAGTCTATCTGTATGTTTGAATCAGTACTAATTCTGAATACAGTATCTTAAATAACTTCATAACAATTGAGCCTGTTATAATCTTTATTTTAAATTATCAAGCAATAAAATGAATATTTTAGAGAGGTGAGTATGCTGTGATGTAAGCAAAAGAAAAAAAACCTAGCAAACTTCTTAAGCTACTATTAGGAACTAAATAGGATACACCTATGCTTATTAACCTTGACTCACATCACTTGTTCACTAATTACCCTGGAACTGAATGTGGTGGAATAAGAGAGGCAGCAAAATCTTTTTTCCCCCCTCTGCTTCACAATAATATTGCTGCCTATTATGGCTTTTCCAGCTGCTTCACAGCTTCTGATGTTCCTGGTAATTAAAAACATTGACAATCTTAAGCAAAACTTAAGGAATAAGAGAAAGAGTAAATGTAAACACCTCTCTTCTTGTGGCAGTATGCTAATAACTCAACAAATCCATGCAGCAGCCCTAAATTCTATACTTTCAATAGTGATTATAATATTCCAGGATGTAATACTCTGTGAATGGATTATGACACGATTATGACAGGAGATTCATTTCCTTCCTTCCTTCCTTCCTTCCTTCCTTCCTTCCCTCCCTCCCTCCCTTTCTTCCTTCCTTCAGCTGTCCAGAGTGGAGATCATGCCTTGAAGGATTTCCAGCTCTTTAAAAAGTAACAAAACTGCATCCTTTGTTTTTTGCATGGAGGGATGGGCTACCTCTAGACCAGGGTTTCCCAAAGAATGAGGTGTACCTACCTTGGGGAAATGCAGAGTCTGGAGGAGTTTTGAAGAACCTTTTAGTTACATTGTTAGAATAAATCCACCTTTCCCAAAGTTTCCTCGCATTGTTTTCATTGTTCATTTGTGTTCATTCTGGTGTTTTGATTTTTAAGGGACATGTGTACAGTAAGATTACACTAAAGGGAGATATGATGGGACCCCTGCTTTAGAAACTATACCCCAAAATGAATTAAGTGCTAAGCCTTAAAGTTTTTTATTTTGCTTACCTTTTTCTTAGTATAATATATAAATCGGGCAATATAGATTGTAGCCATGTCGGACATATTCAGATCATAACTCCCACTATCATTTTAGAAATTACAAGGGTATTATTTATTTGGTAAATCTCTATAGCCACCCATTTCACATAAACATGGAGGTATGACACTGAGTAGTGTACAAAGTTAAAACCACAAAACAATATGACACACATTTCCTGATAACCTTACCCCTGACTATGGATGACCTCACCCAGTGGTTTCATGTAGTTGTTAAGCAGTATTGAATCCAGTGACACCTCACAATGTAGGGGCCAAGGATGTGATTTCTTGCTCCTGATCAACACTTGAGTGGAATCAGCCATGAAGGAAGAACAGTGATGTCCACCCACAACTTTCACAGCCACTCCACAAGGTCATGCTATACCCAGTGGTACTGAAGGCCTCCATCAGGTCAAGTAGAGCAAGGATGGCTATACTATTCCCCCCCACCATCTCCACATTGTTCCTTCCAGAGGTCATCTGAAAGC